TAGAAAGACAAGGTAAACTTAACTAACGTGCATTTAAAAATAAAAAAGAGGAATAGTTTCGCTGAATACTAAAAGGTACCATGGGGTCAAATTAGAATTTTCTAAAGGGGGGTTCGTTTGAAACACTTGAAATAACTAAAGGACAAGTTAAACAAGAAAGTAGAAAGAAAGGGAGGTGATAGAAAACTATTCCTGCTAAAAGTTAGCAATGATTGAGAGTCAGACCTAAACACTTCAGATATGTGTATCTCACACTACACTGTCACTTTAATTCATGTACCTTTACTTTTAAATGAGTGTTTTTAAATGTCATTTTAATGTCTTTCATTGTTGTAAAGCACTTTGAATTGCCTTGTGTTGAAATGTGCTATATAAATAAACTTGCCTTGCCTTGAAGTGTAATTTACTTTATAATGAAAACACATTTTCATTGCACTAATATTTGAATGTTCTATTTATATGACTGTGTATTTAACCTACAGTATGTTCCTTGTTGTTCTATAAAGGCTTCCTCTTTCACACACGCAGTAAACCTCATCTTCTTCATTTCGTTAGTAATCATTATTCTCAATCTGCAAGTCACCATGAAGCAGCAGACACGGTTAAGCATCACACGTTCTCAGAAGGCCTTTTTTTTAGGGTGAACAAAAAGAAGGAACTATACAGTGTGAGAAAATACTAGAACTAAAACGTACAGAGTATTATTTCAAAGCTCTTAGAATAAATACATGCTTTAAAACAGGTTACATTACATGTTGCCTTGGAAAATAACATTCTGAAGAAAATGAATGCTAAAGAAAACCAATCCCTCCTCGAGCACTATCATGGGCTAAAATCCCTCTATACATACACAAGAAAAGAGAAATGACACTCCGACACATCTCAGGGTGTGCTGCAGGAAAGCAGATCAATGAAAGGCAGTCACACCAAGTTTAACAACCAAGGGGCATAGAGGTGTTGATCCGACTTCCCGTCCATTTACCTTATTCTTTGTCTGATCTAGGGCGATTCCACAATGCTATATTTTCTGTCAGCATTTCCATTTAGAGCGTAAGTGTTAATATTTTAATGAGGGTCGCCAGCTTTATGAACCTTTATTTCCAAAGAAAGTGTTTATAAGTTCTCAAATGAACTGCTATGAAGTGATGTCACTTTCTCAGGAAAGATAGTATCCATTTATTTTACCAATATGTCATTAGTTCACCAAAATAACGCATATTTGGGAATGTACGCCGATGTTTGGAGCTGTGAGGAGCAGCCGGTCGACAAACAAAAAGTTATTGTTTTATAATTACTCTCACTCTTTCTTATTGGATCAAAGAGATTAAAAAATATCTTAGAGAAATCTTGTCTTCTTTTGCTTAAGGGTCTGCTCTGAGATTCTATGCAGTTTGGCAGCCTTCCCTGATATCTGTAAAAGAGAAGAAGCTGCAAACGTAACACCATAATATTTAAACCTTAAGCTTGATTTTTTTTGTGCATTTGTTTTTCTGTAAGTCTGTTATGGTGCATAACAGTTGTTAGGTCATTGGGATTAGATTACATCAAATAATAAGACCTTGATAACAAATATTCTTAGAAGGGACTCTGAGTCAGGCCTGAGACATTTCTTTCTTGGTTTATTTGTTTATTCCACACATGGCAGTTATTTTAAAACAAAACATGTACACTTACAGTATGCTGGTTGATTTTTTTATAGCGCATGGTGGAAAGGAGCATGGAGAAGACAATCTTATTTGACCTGCCCCTTCTGTATGTATCTATATAATATTGATATCCTGATATGGCACAAGTTATTGTTTTATGTTGTGGATATCATAATATGGTAAACGTTGTCTTTTACCGCTTTAGTAATGTACTTTTCTCAACTGAGAACCCTATGGTTAAACCTACAGCACATACCCGTGCCTACCCTTCTGATAGTAAGGGGGTCGAGGGTCTTTCTGCCTGAACAGTACAAGTCTAGAGTGTTCATTACTGAGAATTACACATATGGTGCAACATGATCAGATATGTATTTGTGGACATGAACAGATGGAGAGAGCCACAATAAAAACAGGAAGGGTTTTGGGGTGAATCTACTAGTCACACACCAAGCAGAAGTCTTCTTCTTATTTACATCTCTCAATGACTAAGCCATAAGCAAAACACGCACGATGTCTTTGACATAAAGGCCGATCTGGTCTGAGTGACACTACCAACCTGTTGCAAGTCAAAGAGCAAAGCCTTTTCTCGTATATGATCACCTCTGGACACTAAACTAAAGCCTTAATTGTGTTGTCACAAAAATAAATTGCAATCTTTAATCTTTCTACATCCCCTGCAATCCCCTCAATATATCATATTCCAATCACTTGTATATACTCTTATTTCACTATTTAACCATTTTTCTTTTTGCATTTACTTGCACAATTTTTTCTGTTTATCTGTTTTATTGTGTTGCACTGTTGGAGGAGCCTGTGACCTAAAATTTTCATCGTCATAAGTACACTGTAGCTATGTACGTATGACTAATAAAAGCCTTGAACCTTGAAGTACCCCTAGGGGTCCCCGTACCCCCAGATGGGAACCAGTACCTTCCATGACCCATCTGCATTACTGGATTGTGTTAGGAATATATCTACTTAATAGTGCTGTGAAAACATCCTGCAAACAACTGTTAAAGATAACATTTTAAAAAATCTTGAACCTTCAACCATAATAATGCAGGGTTTCCCACACATAGACTATACTTGGGCGGGCCGCCCAGGTATATTAACAGCCGCCCAAGTATATTTCACAACCCATTTAGTTTTTTTTTTCTTCTTTTTTAAAAATAATTTTTTAGACCACGACGCCATCTTCGGTCGATTAACTTGTGGACAATGATCCCTCGCTCTACGCCTCCTGTACCCAGTCCTGGACTGGCCATCGGGAGGAACGGGGGGTTTCCCGATGGCCTGGCCTGTTAAGTGGCCTGCTGGCCTGAGGATCTTTTGGGTGACTGGCTGTCTACATGATGTGGCCTGCCGACATGGTCACTGTCATACAGATCATAAATCAAAGCCGTTGATTGGTCTCTGTGTGCCATTCAAGCTCGGGATAACCTGAGCTCAGGTGAGGTAAAGGACTCTCTGAGTGTAGATAGTTAACTTATGGCGCATTTCCACTACACGGCCTCGCTCGGTATGGCTAGGCCTCGTTAGGACTGGCTCACTTTATGGCGCATTTCCATTACAGTTTAGGAACTGGGGTAGTATCTATAGTAACGCAGTGTAGGCGGAGCCGTGACGTCATCTTCAATGAGAACCCCAGAAAAACAACACAGCCGTTAGCTGTTAGCACTCAGAGCTCACAGCTCCTCATATATGTTCAGAAACTAGACAAAAGTTAAACAAGTACAAACCACAGACTGCCTGTGTCATGGTGAATACAGTCGCTGCTTTATTTATGTCTGTATAGGCCGTTGTTGTGAGTGTGGACGGTCGGAGCATATACTGCGTTAGCTTAGCCAATCTCCATTTAGAAAACACGCATTTTAAAAGGTTTTTCGCCTGCCGTCTGTCTGCAGACTTGTCAAAGCATTAATTCATGGTTTTTACTAACCGGTATCAGTATGTTGTTACTTCGGCATCATTTTGAAACGTGTATTACAATTAAATCACGGTCAAATATGTCCATCTTGTTGTAGTTGTAGCCCCCTTGCCAGCGATGCTCTCTCTAGTTTAGCATACTCAGCCCGACTCAGCCTCGTTGTCTCTGGCCCTAGACCCACGATTTTATGAGGCCAGAAAAACTGTGAATTAGGACCCGCCGGCCGGTACTAGGCCAAGTGGAAACGCAACCAAAAACGGGCCGCTGACGTCACAGCCCTCTTAAACCGTGCTCCGCGCTGTAGTGGAAACGCGCCATAAGTCTAAGTTCTCAGTGGGTCTCAAACAGTTTGGTCACCATTTATGTAAACACAGATTTCCATTTGAGGGTGTCAGTGTTTTTTAATATTGGAAATGGTATGTTATTGGTTATGGCCATGATTTTATGATTATTGAAATGTATACAGTTCTGTTTCATATAGGTGTTCCCATAGATCTAGTCTCTTTATTTTCCCCTCAAAATGCACCAGATTGATGCATTTAACTCCAAAATGTAAAAAATAATCTTACCGGGGGAGCATGCCCCCGGACCCCCCTAGAGGATTTGAGGTTCCTCAAGTGAGGATGAGGTTCCTAAATACAATTTTTTTTAAATAGTAACCCATGTCCATATGTTTATTTGTAGTTAGTAGATTTAAACTATAGGGCTATCACTATGGGCCCTGCCTGTACCTGTTCGCTCTGCCATCGCATGAAGGGTCTGCTAACAAGCAACCAACAGAAAGGTTAATGTTAATGTTGTTGCACGTCACAAAGGCACGTCACCTATATTGCTGTGAAAATAACCCCATCAAACAACTGTATGTTTTTTCACCAGATGTCCATAACGTCTAACATTTAACCATATTAATTTTTACTTAAAAAAACACAATTGTATACCTCAATGCAACCTCCATAACCTCTAATGAATTGCTCAAATCACGCTGAGATTACACCTTATCCCAGTGTTTCCCCTACCATTGTCTTGGAGGGGCGCTGCGCCCCGCCAACGGAGCCCCACGCCCCCGCTGAAATTCAAGATGTTTAAAAAAAAAACTGTCACTTTTCACATTGAAAATGTGCTCTTTTATTAAATAAACTAAACGCTTTCAATTTAAGTTGTGAGTTTAGTGTTTTTGACCCTATGAAACACTGATGCACTAATCAATAACAATAATCCACAGCTCCTCTCTCTGCTTCCCCCCCCCCCCCTGCTCAGGCAGCACCCCCCCAAAGCAGTAAACCTAGGGGAAACACTGCATCCCTTTTTCTAATCTTCCTCTTCTACATTTTGAAAGATATGTTCAAATAAGGGTATGATGAGGGGTTTGGCCATGTTTTAACCGTCATCTATATAATATGTTCACTCCCTCTGACTGATCACTGCAGAAGCATCCTCCCTTCAAACACTGAGAAGAACACTTCTACAGAGCATCTGTCAAACAACTTTATCCAGCAAAGCAGGTACACCATGAATGATATAATCTCAGGGCACAATGGATGGTAGCTGATGTTTATATTCATCTTGTTTAATTATTAATGATCCAATTAATTTTTTAGGATTAATTATTTGTTCTGTGAAGTCAGAAAAAAGTGGAAAATCTACATTTATCAAAATGTTACTTAAGTACATTTCAAATGTATTTCTACAGCTGAAAAATATGTATAATCTAAGAAAATAATAAGCGTTGTAAATGATGAGTCAGTTGGCCAAATCATTGCTGTCTTTCCTCATCATTTTATCTTTATAACGGAAATGAGTACTTGTGATTTAGTTTTTTGTAATTGCTGTAAAAAAAAAATCGTGTTTTTACTTAAGCAAGGTTTAGAAAAAAGAAATCAGGAAATAGTATTAATGTCTTTTTGTGTCTTTTCTATAGGGGGAGAGAACAGGCCCATCCTGCTGGCAGCAAAGGTAAGTTATGTTCTTAAGTAGGTGTTTAATTCTCCTTTGTAAAGATATTTAACATTGTTTGAAATGTGCTTAAGACTGATCTGCCTGTCCGCCGACTATAAGCTATTTCTGTAGAATCTACATTTTATGTTTCTTGGTTGAGTTCTTTGATATTATCATTGTTTATTATCTGTTTGGTGACAGTGCAGGATGTAATTAGAGCTGAACTGTGTGCAGATGGCTGGCCTGTGCTGGATGGCAGTGGTGCTGACCTTCTTCATGTCTGCTGGAGATACTTTGGCTGATGTGGACGAGAGCTGGCTCACGAGTGTCATAGAAGGCATCAAGAAAGAGTCAGTACACAAAGACTGTTGCTCTTGTCTTTTCTGAAGACTCCACTACTACTACTACTGCTACCAATATTGGTTCTGCTACGAATACTACTACTACTAAATTTGTCATCTAATACTAAATTGTTATACAGAATAATAATATCTATATGTATGGTTTTGTATGTTGTTGACAACTTAATTAAGTCTGATAATTCAGTAGCTTTTGTTTCCTATTTATTTAACTTCATGTCTCAAACTAAGTGTCAACTCTAACGTTCTCTGACCACAATGCTCATGACATGTTCTCCTTTGGCAGGTATCCACTCGGTGACACCTTCAGTGTGGCTGTGAACATCCCTGAGAACCAAGACATAGATACTCTACAGCAAGTCTTTCAGGATGACCCACCAGACAAGGTGAAGCAAACAGTTTCAGGGGGGCAAGTGTACCATGGCACACGGGTGGTGGCGGCAGCACGATCAGAGGCAGTGTCACAAGTTCTAAAAAACATACAACCCTTCATTAAAAGCAGCGAGGGTAATTTCCTTATCATCTACTCTGAAGTATCCCCATGTGGGCCGACTTGTACTACAAATGCAAATCAGGACAGTTCTCGTGATGAGATTAACAACGTCATTAAGAACTGGAGAGGTTATGCGTTTGCGTTTTCTAAACTAGGCGATGTTCCTGCTGGAGACACGCCTCAGATTGCTAAATCCTTCAAAAATCTGGGGATTTCTAAACTTGGGCTTGACAAAATATTCCGTTGTTATAACCCTGGAGATGAAGCGTTTCAGTGCACCAGCTGCTTCTCGGATGGAGATGTTACACCTTCATGTGTTGCAAACAATTCCCCGTCAAATGAAGAAGAGGGCGCAGGCGAGGCAACGGGTACAGACACAGACACAGGTGCAGGTACAGAAATAGCACCAGGTGAAGGAATCGGTGCAGGCATAGGCCCAGCAATAGCAACAGGCATAGGTGGACGAACAGGAGGTGGCAGAAGAAAGGGGGAAAGCGGACGAGTGAGCAGGTGCAAAGGAAAAGGCGGGAATAAAAAAGGGTGCAAGGGTAGAAAAGGCGTCCCGCGTGAAACAAATGGCAAGGGTAGGAGACAATGCAAGCGTAAGGGACCCTGCAAGCCTAAAGGAGTTGACCGACGCAGGAAAGGGAGCAAGGTTAGAAAGGGGCCCATGCAAAAAGGAACAGGCAAAGTTGGAGGAAGGCGTAAGTCCAAAGGAGTGCGCAGAGGCAAAGGAAGAGGAGGGGGCAAGGTTAGAGGACAGAGTAAGACTCGAGGAGGGCGCAGAGGCAAAGGTAGAGGAGGGGGCAAGGTTAGGAGACAGAGTAAGACTCGAGGAGGGCGCAGAGGCAAAGGTAGAGGAGGGGGCAAGGTTAGGAGACAGAGTAAGACTCGAGGAGGGCGCAGAGGCAAAGGTAGAGGAGGGGGCAAGGTTAGGAGACAGAGTAAGACTCGAGGAGGGCGCAGAGGCAAAGGAAGAGGAGGGGGAAAGGTTAGAGGACGCGGCAGCCGTAGAGCAGGTGGTAGAAGAAGCAGCAAGCGTAGAAGCAGCAGCAAGCGTAGAGGCAAGCGTAGGCGGGGACTGCTATGGTAAAAAAATTACTGTTAGCGACAGAGAATGTGGAGTCTATTTTTATATAACATTACAAGACTGATTCTTATTATTACATTATAAGCTTATTGTGCTCATTTTATGTTGCTATGACTTTGGAATAAAGAGGACGGGGGCTCTTTACGGAAATGGTGGTTACAGATTACAGCTTTGCTGCCTGTGATTTCTATGACGTGACGAGTCCTTGGCCAAGTGAATATCTTTTGCTCTCTTGTAATAAATAGTTAAACTTAGAAGTCGTTTGTCTTTCCTGGAATTTTGAACACGACAAGAATCTAAGCAGCAATTTTATAAATCTTATTGACCAGAGCAGTGCCTTATGCATAAAAACATGTGCTTTTTTTTTCTTTACTTACCAACAGATTTAATTAAACCGTTCTCGACTATTTGACGGTTTTAATGCCAGCGTCAATAAAACACCTGAGTTTTGGCACTGATACCGAAAGGATACTTTTTTTGGGCTTTGATTGTTGTTGTGATCACATCCCATAACATTGCAAGTTTATTTCAAATCAAGTTTGTTTTGTCAAGTCCAAATAAAAAATGGCAGAATTTGTTTTTATTTTGCTAGTTCTTAATTCATTTCTGGTGATGACCAAGCATCAAGCACCTCAAAACTAGGAATGGCTTTGGGTTCCACCCCTCCCAAGCAAAAACAATTGCTAAATTGCAAATAAATACTTGTATGTTTGCAAAGGCTACAACAAAGGTAAACAGTGGATTTTTATTTTGTTTCTGTTTTACCGGGGTGTTCTGGACGTACCTTATTAAACTAAGGCACCAAAGAAGGGTTCATGTAAATTATACTTGGTATGTATAGTAGTTTTCTAATTGTTCTCTGTATTTCTGTAAAGCATCACTGTACCAAATCTTCTGATGTTTTTGTTCTTTCTTATTAAAGCTTAGCTAAGCATCAACTCTGGTCTGTCTGTGTGTCAATCATTTGGGAACTCATGCATTCACTAACCCTAAAATATATTTAAGTGAATAGAAACCTTTAGTAAATTGACTGGTAATGTATGTATAATGCAACATGTAACTGACTCCCTCACTTCAAAGTAAAGGATAGTTTTATGATTGTCTATAATTAAGTTTTTGACAACAAGGGATTGTCCTGTAAACAGTGTCAAGCATATGCTTCTTTAGATAAAGTACTGAATGAGAGGGGTATCAGTGTTTTGGACCCACAGTGAATGATAACACAGAGAGAATACAAAAACAGCGAAAACAGTCCATTTAAGTTAAAATGTACTCACAAAGTGGCTCCCCGTTGTGTTGTCAGTCATTGTTTGAAGTGGCCAGGAGATCATTCAGGTGAACCGGATGAGTGACAGTGAACACCAATCCCTCCCATCACAGGCTGAAGACACTGCAAACGGTCCAGTTGAGGATCTTCATCTATACATACAAATAATAATGAGTGAAATGTATCTTGCATATCAAGAAACACAATAGCATTTTTAAAAAGGTTAAATGTGTCACAAAACAAGAAAATAACATTAAAAAACTTTCTTGGGCAGAGTAGTAGTAATCAACAACATAAGACAAATAATTTAAACGGCAGTGAATAACAATAACCAAGAAATTAACTTTAAAATATACTTTCAAACTAAAACAAACAAGTACGTTGCATAACTACAGTAGTACTACTCTACACTATTACAGTAATTTCATTACATCTTTAAAAAAGTTAACTTTCAAAAACAGCCCTGAGGCATACATTTGGAATACTCAAGTACAGGACAATGCAAATGTACTATCGTTGATGTACTCAGATATTGTTCTTGAGTAAAAGTACAGTAGAAGTACCACAGTGTACTGTTACAAGTAAAAGTACTGCAATCAAAATGTTACCCAAGTAAAAGTATAAAAGTATTAGCATCAAAATATAATTAAAGTACAAAAGGTAAACAACCCATTGTGCAGATTGGTCCATTTCAGAATAATATATATGATATGTTTTATAATTATTGATCATTAAAGTGTTCTCAAAGCTGGTAAAGGTGCAGCTAGTAATGACTTTGTATACTGCAGGGTAGCTTGTGAATTTACTCCAGGTGGAACTAAAGTCTGAATTAAGAGCTGATTATATTTGCAAAGTAACTAAAGATATTACATAAATACAGTGGAGTAAAAGTACACTATTTACCTCTGAATTTTAGAGGAGTAGAAGTACAAAGTAACACAAATTGAATTGAAAATCGACTTAGTTACTTTACACAAATGCCGTTTACTAGTAAGTAAAATACACTTATCCCCCTAAATTATAAACGGCCTTGACTCCAACAGGTATTTCTTCTTTATCTAATGTTATCTCGTGTTAATTGCCGTTAGTTTGCCGTTAAAGTGAGATAACTGGTCTAGTTCCAAGCATAGTGAACCCAGAAATGTTGAGCACACCAAAGTGTCATGTTTAGCGGTTGGCACACTATAACGGTTGGCTTAATTTAACGGTTAGGTTCTATTCTACCGGTACTTGAGCAGTGTGAACCCAGAAATGTTGAGTACACCGACGTTTTATGATAGAAATACAGCATCTTTACACATCCCTAAAACCACATTACAGATAATGCCACTTTCTGGTTGAAACTGACATTTTTGATCCTGTAAATATCAGAAATGGATTCAGCCTCCTCAATAACCCCCAAAACAACTCCGAAAATTGTCCAAATCAGCCATGTCATTTTTTGTACTATTGTTTACATACATAGGCTTTAATGCCATCCATCATGCCATCAATTAACGCAACTTAAGCTAATTGTGAAAATTGCCCAACATATGTAAATTAGCGTACTGGGGACCCGTACTATACATTTATATCATAATACGTTGGTTTATACTGCTGGAAAGAAGAGCTAACCGTTAAATTAAGCCAACCGTTAAAGTATGCTAACCGCTAAAGTAAGCTAACCGTTTAATTAAGCCAACCGTTAAAGTATGCTAACCGCTAAAGTAAGATAACCGTTTAAAACTTTTACGACCGTTTTCCTCAAAGATGAACACAAAACTAACAAAACATTGCACGCAGTTTACTCTTACTTACCGATATATAGACACTATTTCCATATTCACACCAAAACTTTCAATAAGCTGGAAAAGATAAAAGGAGGAGTTTCAAACGTCTCTCAATTTGCCTCGTTCCAAACTAAGATGGCAGCCGGAAGTGTACACTTGTCTTATTCTTCTTCCTCGTTGGTTTCTGTGCATGCAAATCCCTTTGAAATATTAATGATTTGGATGAATATTGTTAATATGCAGAGGTGGGAAGTAACCAAGTACATTTACTCAAGTACTGTACTTAAGTACAATTTTGAGGTACTTGTAATTTACTTGAGTATTTCCATGTTATGCAAATTAATACTTCTAATCCACTACATTTGAAAGATAAATAATGTAATTGTACACTACACTACATGTATTTAACAGCTTTAAATATGTTTAACAAAATGCATGTCTAAAAATAAACTAATGAACTAACTTCAAAGGTCACAAAGGTCACAAAAGAGTCAAATTATTTTAATATTTTACAAATAGTCAATCTGAACTTTGTTTGTCTACAACAGTAATGCTTCTTGATGCAACAATATAATCTAGAAATGTCACATATATATAAATATATATATATATATAATCATAAACACATATTTAGGCCATTTGTCACTCAGCACAATGATTACTTTGACTTGTTATACTTAAAGTACATTTTGCTGATAATACTTTTGTACATTTATGTAAGACAATAATGTTTTAGTAAACATAAGTAAAGCATATGAATACGTATTCTGTTCTTCTTAATTAACTAATTTAATTTAGGTGGAAATGTAAAAAGAAAAAAAGCATTTTAAAAGTGTAGCTGGTTGGAATGGCCAATCGAATCTAAAAATGCCTTCACGTGTACTGTTAATATAATATATATACCGTTATCTGAATAAGACCTGAAGCCCTTGTGGAAAAAAAGAAAAAAAAATCAATTAAACGTTTCAAGCACTGTAAAACTACAACTCCCACAATGCCATCTTGTGCCAGACTTCACGTGATTATGACCCACCCGCTTCATGTGACCGCACAAGCAAACATGGCGGATGTAGAGGCATCGAAATCTTTGAGCGGACTGTTGAATGGAATAGCTCAAAAAGTGTATTATAACAACAGCGAAATCACAGAGGAGCTGTTGAAAGATGAGTTATATCCCGAGCTGTCGCAGGAGGAGTTCAAGGCTTTGCATGAAAAGATGAAAGCCCTCATTAAGGTAATGCAGACAAAACTCCATCCTGAATTTAGCCTACTGCAGAAATATCAGCCACAATATAATGTTTTATTTTTCTGTGTGGACATAAATGAGCGTTATTTATATAATAACTACAAATATGTACTTAACAGTTTATACATTTAGTGTAAGCAGTAAGCAGAAAAAGGGGTCATTGGTGGAATGTAAATACATGCATTTAGCCTACTTCAAATTTGAGGTTTATATTTACAACTCATTAGAAAGAATATGTGCAATGTCCGTTTATTACTATGCAAGCTATTGTGCAAAATATACTTAAGGAAGTAGGCTACTGAGAATGAGGGCAGTGCAAGGTAATGTTAATTTGCTAAAGAAAGAACAGAGTATCAGAATAGTTTTAATGTGAAGATGATCTGAAGTAAAGCTGATCCAACAGGTAGATTTTAGATAATAACTAGTGTATTTGAATCCTGATTATAATGTCTTAACTGTAAATGGTGATGGGTAAAACGTATTAAAACGGAGGTGTTTACATGCATTAGTCCTTGTCTGTGTGTCTCACCTGTAGACAGCAGGGGGCAGCACTAACATACATTACATTACAACCACAGAATGAGACAAGGAGAGCCAAGAAAACAACTTTACAATATTTTACAACAATCAATACATAACACAAGTTAAGTGCAAATAAAAAGATACTTTCAAATTCTGTATGACATTTAGGAATAAGACAAATATACAGTATGCAGTTGATATTTTGTCCAACTACCGCTTTATGGATTTAACGTTTTTTCTTGTTTTTTCATTGTCATCGGCTTTTGTTAAATAAAGCTCGCTTTTTGTTACACTTTGTACCCCTTCTCCTCATTCTGCGTCTGGGTCCTGATAACCCCCCACCCTGACACACTGTTTGAACTCCAGCTTTGTAAAGCACCTTCACCTGATCCTCCTCTTCCTCTTCTTTTCATCCATCTCTCAGTCACCCTCACCCACAGTGAGACTATAACACCCCACACACACTCAGACACTCAAATTCAGCACCAGACACTTTTTACGCTGCTGGACAATCTTGCACTAATGTACATTTCTCAAAGATATTGAAGTGACTGTTATTTTGTATATATTGATTGTTGTGCTTTTATTTACGTCTTGATATGTGCATATAAATGTGTCTGTTGATTGTGTATAGATAGATAGATGGATAGATGGATGGATAGATAGATGGATAGATAGATAGATAGATGGATAGATGGATAGATAGATAGATAGATAGATGGATGGATAGATAGATAGATAGATAGATAGATAGATGGATAGATAGATAGATAGATGGATAGATAGATAGATAGATGGATAGATAGATGGATAGATGGATAGATGGATAGATAGATAGATGGATAGATAGATAGATAGATAGATAGATAGATAGATGGATAGATAGATAGATAGATAGATAGATGGATAGATAGATAGATAGATAGATAGATAGGTACTTTATTGACCCCAATTTGGGACATTTTTGCATTGCAGCAGTATAAAAAAGGCAATGTACTTAAAAGAAATTAAGACACAAGAAATAAACAGTCCAAAATATTTCAGAAATAGCATTACAAATTAAAAAAGTTAAAGAATATAAAATAAAAAATATATATACATACATACATATACAAGTGGACAAAAAAACAAATATAATGCAGGATATTATTGTGCAATAAATGATTATTCAAAATAAAATAGAATATGAATGTAAAATGTACAAATATACATATTTTTATACATATTTTTATACATATTTTTATATATATTTGTATTTTTTGTATTCGGGATTGTGGGAAACGGTATTTCGATCTCTGTCTGTACACACAAACTGAAAGATTGACAATAAAGTTGACTTTGACTTTGGTTATGGACAAGGGGGTTTAATGATGGGGATGTTTAGATGATGCCTAAGGGAATTTAAGGGTGGGACCAGTTGGATATTCTCTCTACTCTATAGTGTGACTGTTAGCTGTGTTCTGGGTGCAGAACTTCTCTATCCTCTGAGGATGAAGTTGCTCTGCTCCTGCATTTGAGATTGATTTCACTTGTATATTGACTTTCTTTATTACTTTATTAAATATAACAAAATACAAACTTTGTCCATGAATCGTTTATCAGTTTCTCTTAAGAATGTTCCTCCACCAATTCCAGCTTTGTGAAACACCTTCACCTGATCCTCCTCTTCCTCTTCTTTTCATCCATCTCTCAGTCTATTGCCACAGCAGACATGGACCCCTCCCAGCTGGAGGCCTTCCTCACAGCGCAGACGAAGAGGCAGGGCAGCGGGGGGCTGGGTGCCGAGCAGGCCGCCACCCTCTCTCGCTTCTGGAAGAGCCAGCGGGTCCGTGTGAGGGAGAGTCTGCTGTCTCAGAGCCGCTGGGAGCCCGGTCTCAGGGGCCTCTCCTGGAGGGTGGACCTCCACACTGCAGCCAGCCGGGGGGACGCAGCCCACAGCGGCCCCGTGGCCCTCATGGAGCTGGAGCTGGGCCGAGCCGGACAGGTGAGCCTGAAGAGAAGCCATTCAATGTCTCTTATGCTGTGTCTCAATTTGTCACTTTATAAAGAGAACTGGAAACACTGTAAGAGTTTTTTGTAGGCTGACCCGGAAGTTGCAAGTGCTGCCTCAAAAATAAATGGACTTTTCCATTGGATTTCAGAATATTGCAGACAATAATCTCTGTAGCAAACTTACATTTATGATACTCACACCAGTGGGATAATCTTTACATATTAACAACACTTAATGCAATCTCCAGAGGTAATGTTACAAAGGAAATGCATCATGGTCACTTGATTTCACAACAACACCGCTAAGCTAAAGGTGGCTAATGTTAGGCGTGATGACGTTTACTATTCTCATTTCGACACTTGTATGCAACTGACGTTTGCAGCTTTAGACATTAAACAATGGTGTATTTACTGATGCATTTTAAGTCGTTGAATCACAAACATCTCTTCAGCTTGTGAACCCTACAACACATCAAACAATCTGTTGACTTTGATCCAAGAGACCTGGGAGTGCTAAAGCAGAGAATGTGCTTCAACGCCCCACTGACTCATAATTTATAGTATTTTTGAAGTAACACAGTGAAATGAAGCTGACACATTGGCAAACAAAGTGGAAAAGCTTGCTAGCCACAAACAAGCCCTACCTTTCTGTCCAGTTTGATAATAATGGAAGTGCCTCTTCTGACTTATAGAAACGATTCCAGCAAAGAAATATATTCCTATGACTGAACTGAATTCTTACTTACGCTTCGAGGTAACACCATTCCCCTGTGTAACAGTTGCAGTATCCCAATTGAAAGAAAACAATCCTATAACACAACAAAACTAAACTACATGGTTAGGGTTGGTGAAAAATCATGGTTTGGTTTAAAATAAGTATTTTGTATTCGTATCTAATTACATTGGATTTGATTTAGGCGCCGTTTACACGAGGAGAAAACGGCTTGTATCTGCATAGTTTCGCGTGCGTATAGCCCTATTATTTACACGAGGCCGATAGAAACTGACCCCACAAACGATAACGGGTCCCAAGGTGGATAGATTTGCAAACGAAACGCTCTGGGGGGTCAACCGAGTCCGTGTAATCACCTCTATACGAATATTTCCTGAAAAAATAACGATAGCCCCGCCTCTCCCCGCCTCTCCTGCTCACTGCTGTAGCAACTATCAAAAATAGCTGTGTTAATTAAACGCACAAGGGGTTCTTGAATGAAATAATATTATAAAAGGCAAACCAGAATTGTTAACGCCCAATATACTCCTTAAACAAAATAAACAGAGTCAGATTTCATGCATTGATCCATTATATTGACAAAGGAGGATCTCACCCGGTGTTTGTAGAGAATATCTCTCTCTTTCTGAGCCGTCCTCTCCACGGAGACGTGCTTCTTGGTCGGGATACAATATCCACAGATTCGGTTTCTTTCAGTTTCAGTTTCAGTTTCGGGGCTTAAACAGAAGGGTAGCCATGGCAACATTGCAGCGGGGCTGCTCGGGTTGCTCTTCTTCGCGGCTTTTGGTGTATTTTGGCGGAAGTTACAGCGCCACTTACAGTCCCAGCATATGTACTACAGCGTTTCCAGCGGCCTCGTTTGAACAGACACGTTAAATGAAACAAATGCATGTGAACGGAAGACTTTTTTTGAATACGCATACTGTGCATAAACGCAACGGTCCCGTGTGAGCGGGGCCTTAGCTAGACTAGATTAAATCAACTTTATTCATCCCAAATTGGGATTTTTTTGTTACAGCAGGATGTTAACAGGCATTACACATGTGTTTAGCATATAATACAAATAAAAATGAATATTGAAAACAAACATAAACAGATCATGTCAACAGTTAAATCGTTTTTAAAGTATAACAAAAAATAGACACAAAAATAGACATTGTAAATACAGATGATGCAACAAGAAGTGCTAAAGTGCAATGATAAAAACATAGTTGGAAGACTTCTGGAAAAGCAGCGGTAAAGAGAGGTTTTCAGCCTTGATTTAAAAGAACTCAGGCTTGGAGTAGACGTCAGATGTTCAGAAGGTTTGTTACAGATCTGTGGAGCATGAAAGCTAAAAGCTGCCTCTGCGTATTTGGTGATGACCCTGCGGACGATGAGTAACCCTGTTCTCCATGATCTGAGAGCTCTGGGGAAGATTTTGAGGTGTTTTCTTTCTGTTATTTCAAGCCAGTGCAGAGCGGTGAGAACTGGGGCGATGGGGCGGGTGCTCAGCTCTTTAGTTGTGGTGAGGACAAAGAAGCCGTTGGTGATGAGGGCTGCCGTGTCTTTGGCTCCTCTCCAACTCTGCCTTTTTTTTCCCGTTTCATTTCAGTGTTTGTTTACATTTCGTTGTGTGCTTTTAACTTTGTCCGCAATATCTAATCCAATCACACCCACTCTACTATACAATAGCTTGCACATATCAAAACATTCTCTTGCACTATTTTATTTGTTTTGTCTCCTATAGCCTATATATTCATGTTGCTCTGTTGGAGGAGCCTGTGACCTACGTTTTTTTCATTGCCATATCTACACTGTAGCTAGTATGCACATGACAATAAAAGCCTTGAATTGGCGGAAGCGTTCTGGATGAGTTGCTGATGGATTTCTTACAGAGAAATTCAAAGACACTGTCGCAGTAATAAAGCTAAGAACAAAGACATGGACCAGTTTCTCTAGACCATTTTGAGACATGAGTGTTTTCAGTATAAATAGGTTTTTAGGTGCGGTCAAATGCTGATTTCGTAATTCCTTTGGTTAGGGTTTTAAAAATTAGGTCAGAGTCCATAACGTCACTGAGATTTGTGACATTGTCTGATGTGTTGAACAGCAGGACTAAATTGTAGACGGTTGATTAGACTGATTTATTCGTCTGAAAGAATAAGTGTGTGTGGATGTGTGTGTGTGTGGGTGTGTTGTGTGTGTGTGTGTGTGGTGTGTGTGTGTGTGTGTGTGTGTGTGTGGGTGTGTTTGGTGTGTGTGTGTGGTGTGTGTGTGTGTGTGGTTGTGTGTGTGGTGTGTGTGTGTGTGTGTGTGTGTGGTGGTGTTGTGTGTGTGTGTGTGTGTGGTGTGGTGTGTGTGTGTGGGTGTTGTGTGTGTGTTGTGTGTGTGTGTGTGTGTGTGTGTGTGTGTGTGTGTGTGTGTGTGTGTGTGTACAGCCTAGATATGTAAGCATGCTGACCACCAGCAGACCTCCATCATAGCGCAGATATCGCCATGATGTCGGCACAGTTCATCCTGTTTGTCACTGGGCTTGTTTCTAAATCTTCTACTGTGGGTCTCTGGAACAATGCTTCTACCTGCAGCAATAACCAGACTACCTGCAGTGATGACACATAGCAAAAATAACCATACCTGCTGTGATGACATTTCTACTCTTGGCAGTGACGCTTCTACCCTGTGGGTTGACTTTATTTCTACTATTTTACACACTTTAGGGAAACCATTTTCCTCCAGCGTTCTGTACTCGTCGTATTTTAGTTTTATGGAGAACTGCAGACCTTGAGGGTTTCACTTTTATTAAGTGAGGGCACTTGAGGCAGCTGATGTTGACATATCAATATTGGGATGATGGAAAGTGAAACCTGACCTGCTTTCCCAAATACTAGCATGACTTCCTGTGGCTCCTCACAGTTTCTGCTGCTCTGTATATTTTATTAAGGAGGATTATATTCAGGAAAAGTAAAAACTGTGTGTACGATATGGCCAAAATCCACTATCATGGTATATTGTATTTCTTATCATGGTAACAATCCCAACAAAGTGAAGATTTATTTTATTGTTTTATTTAAAAGTTCCATAAGACCAATAACAACAACCTCACACAAGACAACACTTGAGATAAAAAAAAGAAGTCTATAGGTATACAGCTGTTTCTGACTAAGAATACATATAACAGCTGTAAGGGATCTTTCTATGTAATGTATTTTTGTTTTAAAGTACTGTATCAATAGGAGAATTGATAAATATCATTATCAATACGCAGTACTGGTATTTCTATCGATCAGTTTCTCATCCCTATGGTTATCACAAATGGAAGATTTCATGTAACATAAAACGCGTCAGTAAAAACCTCACTGGTGAATTTTGAAGCTTACAAAACGTCATCGAGTTGAACACTAGCCACCTTTAGCTAAGCGGTCGTGATGTGAAGTCATGACCGTCATGTAGTTTGTTTATTGTCTAACATACATTTTGTAATCCAATGGAAAATTCCCATTGGCTTTTCTTCAACGTAGCCCTACATTTCTTCAATAAAACGCCACTGCACCACATTTTGGGATGGATGAATGTCAGTTTTTATGGTGTTCTTGAATATGGATTGTAATATGTTAGTAGGTAAATCTAGAAAATGGACCAAAACATTTGTCTGGAGCTCAGTTACTTGGGTTTGTTTATTCTGAAAGTGAAGGTAGTTTGTGATGTTGATGACACTTTGTGCTTTAGGAGTCTTGTTCCCATTCTCTTCGACCCAATGTCCAGCTCCCACAGCTCAGAGAAAGCAGGGCAGCAGACTGGAGCTTCACTCTGCTGTATTATACTTTACTACTATTCAATCATGTCTAAATGTAGCCCAGAGAGTCCTGAAGGCTGCAGAAGTAGGTGGAGAGAGTCACATTAAACATCAAGGTGTCCTTAAACTCTTAAATCCCAGTGGAGCCGGAAGAGACGATGCCCTTCATCCGTATGGAGGAAGTTCAGACTTTAGAAACAAGGCCAAAATGTTTCTGTTGAATTATTTATTAGGTTCATTATTTTGTTCCCTAAAAATATTATCTGATGAAACTTTTAGTCGAAAAACTGAAAATTACTAATAAACTATTTTGAATATGATTTTAATAATTTATGCAAAATGTTTTCAGGCAACTATTTTCAAACTCTCTCATTCAAGATTAGTAATTACTGTTTTATTATTATTTTAGACTTACTACACTCTTAGCTACAGTAAATACATGCATGTTTTTAAGACTGTTATGTGAGGATTTATTATTTTTCTGTATTTTATATTTTAAATGGATTCAGCTATAGGGATTTTAGGTTTTAGTTTTTTGCTTTGTCCCCTATTTTCTGTCTGCAAGACTGACTTTTAATTGGTTGACAAAATAATCAAGACACAAGATGAATTGATAAAAGAAACAATCATAAGTCGCTAGTTATTATATTAAAAGTATGAACTATTATTACTTATCTTATACATAACAGTGTTTCCCACAGAATTTTTTTCCCCCCCACCCGGCAAGAAAAGCCAAAGGCCCCTTAACCTATTCGGGTGGCCCACGCATCCACCCCCCCCTCAAATAAGAAAATACATGCGAGTTCATGGCTACTGTAGACAACATTTTTGTTGCTCTGTGTTGCGTTGTTAATGAGTGAGACACCGGAGTTGAGGATCAGAAAATATCACAAAAATATAATTTACAATTTACAATTTAGCCATTTAGCACACGCCTTATTCCAAAGCGACTTACAATGACCAATTACAGGGACATTCTCCCTGGAGTAACTGAGGGCTAAGTGCCTTACTCAAGGGCACACTAGTAGTGGTGTTCCAGGCGGGATTTGAACTCGCAACCTTCCGACCATCAGCCCACCTCACTATCCATTAGACCACTAAAATTAAAAGAAATATATTATTTAAAAAAAAAAAATGTATGAGATCCATATGTGGCGGACGATATTTAATTTATGGCGGCCCGCCAATAAATCAATGTATGGGAAACACTGCATAAAAAAAAACTGCCAGAGCTTCGATTTCTAATTTGCATTTGCAGCATTTAGACACCTTTATTTAATCATGAATACATGCCAACTTGAATCTTAATAGAGTTTGCAAAAACAATTTTACCACCAATGTTCATATATTCGAGTATTGCTTATGTTCGCAGTAATATCTCATGCTCTGTACTTAGAGACACAGACAATAGAAAATAGAAACCAGGAGAGGGATCATCGCGGTGTAACGCCCGTTCCCGAGAACAATAAAGGAAGACAAAGATGGGGCAGGTGGGAGACACTCACATTATAGCTGTAGCGGGCTTCATTCATTTTTCAGTATCATGTGATGAACACAGTGCAGGTCAGTCAGAAGGGGGTCGTGTTACACAGAGAAGATAGTCTGACTCTGTGGGACCCTGCAGACACCAGCACAAAGACTTTGTTTATCCATATGTACACATGTTTTAAATATCTGTGTATTCATGTATAAAGAAATACGTGTAATTAGCACTGTCCAAGACATTTTAGTCTAACATGAAAAAAGTACTGTGTCTTACTTTGATAGTTATTTATTTTTTGTAACTACAGTATCTGGAAAGAAGTACCATTTTTAAAAAAATAAATAAATAAATAAATAAATAAATAAATAATAATAAATATGCCAAGTATTAATAAAGTATGTATTGTTGTATGAACAATATTAGCAGCTCCTATTTGCATTGTAAACACCGATGCAAAGAGAGCTATCCCTGGGTCACTTTGATACTAAAGAACATTTAAAAGTGTGATAATTATCAGGCAAAAAGACAGTTTTAATTGTTTATTTTTTTATAGCCGTACAATATTTTCCCAAAATCAATATATTTTAGATTGAGCTGGTGTGATTAATCCATTCTATTTAAATATATCTTTATCTATGTCATTGGTGCTATTTATATAATGTGGTTTCCCCTATTGTTATGCATACATAAAGCCATGTCTATTCTTTATTGGGGTGGAAAATATTGGGAAGAAGTGCCTAAAATCTGAGTGAAATTCAATGTCTGCACTCTGAGTTTTATAAGGTGTTTTATTGAAATGTCGTCTGCCTCTCTCAGGACTCAGAGTTCGTGTGTCTGGAGTTTGATGAAGCCAAAGTCAACCAGGTGCTGAAGAAGATGTCTGATATCCAGGAGAGCATCGACAGGATCGTTCATCGCACCTGAAACTTTAAGAGAGGTTTTCCTCGGGCAGCAGAGAAATGGGAAGGTGGGATTCTGTCTCAGAGACACTGCACCTCATAGAAAATAACTGTTCTCTCTTTGCTGATATGCCAGGATGGATCCAACATGGCTCTGCCTACAGACTTTTGAAAGACATACCGTATGAGATGCATAATCCTCATTTCAATACAACTTGTCATATTGACTTGTCCTCATATTAAGGGTCTTGTTGATGGACCAAAAAAGTGTTTGTTTTTTCAACCAACAATAACTCAAAGTGCTGAATTGTTTTTTTTTTTTTTATATGAGAGTGATCCTTCTCTATTCCCTTTCTGAAAGTGTGTAGAAAGGGTCCAAATCTTTGCAAATTTAAGTTGGTTAAAACAACATTTTTTTTATAATACAATGTGACAGAAACAACAATTATTAAAGTAAACACTGCAACGTAATCTGAAGAGGATGATACAGCTTTAGATCTAAAGTTCAGACTGATGTTTTTTGACTGAAAATGCATTTAAAGTCAACGCAAAGATGCAAAAGAACTCAAATTGATATTAACAGGCGGCGCACATTTGGTCAACAACTTTGAGTTGAACAATTTTCCACTGATGCTGTTTATGGAGAAGAAACTGTTAAATAAAAAATAAAGTATAATTTGAATTCAATGTTGACGCCTTAGCTACTCAATCTACAGCTTTATGATAAACCTGTGATAAAATGCTAACATTAGCATAAAATGATATTGTGCCAATATTCTGAATATGTTCTTTTAGCATAAATGTAAAAATGCTCACTTGAGCTAATGTTAGCATTTAGCTCGAATCATGATGATTTTTTCCCTCTGTGAATGCTGACTTAGTAGCTAATGTTAACAACATGTAAGCGTTCAAATATTTAATTCAATACAACTTTATTCATCCCTTCAAGTGGCTATTTGATGCATAGAACAACTAAAACCTATTTTATTATGTAGATGTTGGCAAGGTAATATAAGCATTTAGCTGAAAGTACAGCTGACAGTATCAGGTTAGACTGATGAGAGCTCTCTGATGTTACCATGGTGATTGTCATGTACCTGAACAGAGTTTAGAGCGTCCTGCTCCTTTAAGGAAATGGTGTGATCATCCCTTTCTGAGCTACCTGGTGTCAGGTAGACTGCCTGCAGGTGTAGATTACACGTGGCCCATTAATTCTTAAGAGGAACAAAAGCCTGCAGGACCTCAGCAGCACTTGAACAGTTTGATTAAGGACTTGATTCATTAGTTCAGGTTAAGAGTGTTTATATAAATGCAGTTAGTTAAACCTCCAGTCAGATCCAGTGGGATGCAGTGTTTGTCTGTGTCTGTGTTCAGTGCGGAGGTTATATTGCTCCAGAGGTGGATGACACTGACAAGCAATAAAATGCCTGATAAATAAACTCTTAAATCAATAAAGTATAAACCATAAAACCCCTGCTTTTGCTTTCGAGATAGCATTTACAACCCAACACAAGATCATGTTGGAGATTATTGGGATATACTCTAGCCTATACTGTCTTAAATGTGCTTACAATAAGTAAGTTGTAATAATTATTGTGTTTTGATTTAATCATAATGCAAAATCTTTGATTTATTCTTGTTTTGTTTTCAGTTATGGTGCGCAAAATCTGAAACAAAGGTCAGGTTTATTGTTTGACGGCCATAAATACAAAGAGAATTCAATCTAAAGTATAATTTATAATATAAAGAGGATTTGTCAGTGCTTGCAGGGCTCAGAGAAATATATTTGTGCACTTTTGAACTTAATGAATCACTTTTGAAGAACTGCTCAATGTACATATTTCCTTGTAATTGTCATTAATGCTTTGTAATAAACGTCTCAGACATCTGGCTGGAACATCTCATCACTTTTACTTCTAATCATCAGCGTGTCATGTCTCATAAGGTTTATGGGTGGAGACGTGGAGATGGACTCAAACTGCTTTAATAAGACAACTGCTACTTCAAAATAAACAAACATTGTTCGTTTTACTCAGTGAGCTGTAGTTACTTTTTAGAGTTCAGTTTTCCATCTTCTTCCTCTCCAGTGAAAACCATGTATCTCCAGATGTTTGTGATGAACTTAAGTGTTCCCTTTATGTGTTGATAACATTCTCCAACTATTTAAAAACCCTTTTGGATCAGCTGGATAATGCATCTCCACAAAGCTGAAAACAGGGCGGTTTTTCTGATAAATGTTATGAAAAGTGGACTTTTAGAGATATGTGGTTCTCACAGGACAGGAAAGCTGCAGACAGATATTAAAGGAGGCCTATTATACTTCTGGAGTTTTCCCTTTCCTGTAGTGGTTTTTGTATGTAATGGTCTGCAAAAGCTAATATCCCTGTGTTCCCTCAGAGGGAGTTTCTCTCCAACACTACAGCATTATTATAGGTTAAGATTAGTATTTATGCATAAATAAAAAAATATAAAAACACAATTTTTGCATCTACAACATTCAACTAATGACCACAGCAATGATTACAAAATATAAATTGTAAACATATTATTTTGCAGGTTCATTTTGATGCTGATACACTGAACTTTTTTTAGCAGGTATTGAACTTACAACATAATATGTCTACAGTATTGTATTAGTAATACTTCTTTACAAGATTTGGTCTACCACTACACTTCAGCCCAGATTTTAAGATGTTAAATTGAGAGGGGTAAAAAGGGGAGGGTGTGTGTTTTGCACTTGGGAATCCTTGCAACACTTTTGAACTGCAGCCATGCAACCTGAGGGAGGAGTCAGAGCGCAGGGGAGTCTCTCACTTCGGATAAACTTCTCCACCTTTCCCCCCTCAGTGAACAGAGAATGTGACCTGTCTGTTGGATATTTAAAGATTGGAAAGGATTTCGGGTTTCACAGTGTTCGTATTTCAGTGAATGAGGATTAGTGCGCAGTTGATCTCCAAAATACGCGCCGCGTGAAGGAAGGATTGAGGGTGAGTTCAGGTGCACGAGCTGCAGCCTGTTGATCGGCATTTTAATTTGATTTCACAACGAGGACGTGCGGAGGCGGTCTGAGAGGTAAGTTAGTCACAGATATAACTCCCTTTGTGTTGTATTTATTGCGCATATATGCGAAATAACCGTACATTTAACACAGAGTTTGACCGCGAGTAGACCTTAAAGTACAAAAACAAGAGCAGTTTGACTTTGTACTTGTAGATAGTACTGTGTGTCATAACTTGCATGACATGTGTTGAATAAATCAAGTGTTTATTCCTATTGTTTCTGTGTTATAGTGTAGAAAAGGGCTCTAACTTTAGGGAAAACAGAGCAATACAAAGTGTAATTCATTCAGATTTAGTATGAGTCTTATCCATCGCATCTGTCAGTGTAAGCTACGGAAGAGGATTAGGGCCAAATATGAACAGTTTATTTGAGTTCAGTCCACATGTGAATAATGTCAAAAGTAAAATAACTTAAATATAATTCCTGATGTACAATATTAAAATAAACTCTGCTATTAATCTCAAAACTCAGATTTTAAAATCATTACTCAAATATTGTTTGAAGTTATAATGGACGTCAAAAGGGGGGAAAGATTAATGTCCCCTGATTTATAATAAAAACACATGGCAGTAACCTTCATTTGTTATTATATAAAATAATCTTCATACACAGAATGAAAACACTTGCATCTCTTTTATCAAATCAGATTATCTTTCAGTAAAAAACACACTGACTCTTCCTGTTCACACTGCAATTAAAGTTTTACAGCTCTGCAGTTTGATAAATAATTAATATTTTACAGCTTTTATACAAAGCCCTACCACTCTGTAAACATTGCTCAGGCTCTACGACAGGCAGTCAATTAAGATGTGCTCTTAAGTAAACTTTGATTTTCATTTTGACAGTCTGCAAGTGTTGCTTCACTTCTGTGTGATTGGTCTACTCTAAAGGCGTGTAACTGAAGATCATTATAGCAAGCTTACATTACTTTAGTAGCCTCTCCGGACAAACAATCCCAATTTATAACCAAAATTATCCCTGCACTTCGCTGAGTTTCTTCCTGGTTAATGTGTCTTTGTGTTTAACTGCAGATGGATGCAGAAACAACCGTCTGGTTCTTGTTGAAGACGTGGTTCTCCTTCCTGCAGCTCCTCCTCATGAGACCTGGAGAGCGCTGTGTCTCCTCCAGCCCCAACTGACCCCCCTTCTACTGTCTCAGGTGATATATAGCTTTCATGTCATGTGACCTAATGACTCAAACAAAGGCATATGTATTATTATACACGAGACAAGTGGGACACACCTCTTTTTTGTTCCACCTTCTATTTTTTATATTAAAGGTGGGGTAGGTAAGTTTGAGAAACCGGCTCGAGATACACTTTTTGTTATATTCCATGGAATGCTCTTAACATCCTGATAGCAATGAATATCTTAAGTGCTTTGACAAAAAATCCATAAAAAAATGTCATCTGTGGAAGCTGTAGTACTGTAAAAAGCACGATCAATCATTTAAGCCGGCCCGGCTAAAATAACTGGATGGCCTACCTGCCTGTCAGCCTTCCATCTGTGCACAAACTTATCTCGTGCCCTCATTGGTCATGTGTGCGTTCGTGTGTGTTGGAGGAGGGGCTCTGTAAGGAAGTGGCAGATTTTTTCCGGCTGTGTATTTTCAAATTCTAGCGCACTCGAGCTGGTTTCTCCAAAATTACCTACCCCACCTTTAATATTTTGATGCACATTCAGCAGTTTCTCATTACATTTTTCAATACCTTCCATGTCATGTGGCCCATTAACTCCATCCATAACATAAATTATTACTACGCTGGACAAATATGACACGCATATTTTCTTGGACTTTATTCTACCTTCTATTTCATATAAAATTGTGTAGGAAAAATCTGCAGTGTTTTTATTTAATAGCTTCCGTATCATGTGACCCAATCAAGTAGGACACGTGTCGTCTTATTGAATTTTATTCCACTTGCTATTTTATATGAGTATATTCATGTGAAACTGTTTTTTAATTCAAACTGACTTGTAACTATATCTCTACTATTAAAAATAACATTTTTAATTAAAACTTTATGTAGGTAACATGTTGGGACTGCAATGTAAATTAAACATCATCTGTTTTTCAATAAATAAAATCTGCACAAAAAAACAAACTTAGTAGTGACATCTAGTGGTATAACTGTTTAGGGCTTCTGTCCACAGCAAAAAGTTTCTACATGTATTTAAGTGACTGAAAACCGTTGCATTGCTGCATGCTCAGTCTCTCATGAAAGTGCACAGTGCCCATCTGTGTTTGTCAGTCAGTGGACAATAACAAAAACGGCTGTCAGTTAACCAGCGTCATGTGCACGGCTGAATTGGAAACATGTGATTGAGGAGGAGGAGGAGGAGGAGGAGGAGAAAATGCTCATGGGCCCGTTCCTGCAGGATTAGAGATTAAATTGCGGCCTTGTTCGCAGCCGTCTTGAGCTCTGAAACCAAGCAGTGGTGAAATCAAGCTTCCTGTTGAGTGCTTCAGATTCATCTAGTTTTATTTTTGATAAAAGTTTCAGGGTCGTTTTATCTTTCTCCATGTTTCCAAATGTCCCTTTTGGCTTTGTCGTAAGTCCTGATTCTGCAGATTTGTTCCTGCTTTGTGTTGATTTTCATGGATTTCTTAATTTTGCTGTCCTTTCTATAGACGCAGAGGGGAGGCATCATGTCTGCAGGCCGCAGAAAGCTCTGCGTGATCATGATGCTCAACGTCTTCGTCTGCCTCCTGGTTTGCGTCACGTGGAACCTCCGGCGTCACAAAAGTGGCCGCCACAAAGTTCGAATCCCATCCGAGAGGTTCTGGCAAAGGCACGAAGAGAGTAAATCCTTCTGGAACAAGGAGCAGCAGCGCCTGGACTTCCTCTTCAACCCCATTGTGAACTCTTTGCTCTCGAGCGACTCCCTCATCAAGCTGCCTGATTGGCTGAATAACACCGGGCCCCCTGACCTCTGTGAGCCGGATAACAGAGTCCCAATGCAAATTATGGACTACAACTCCCTGCCAACGGGCTTCCAGGATTTTCTTTTGCACATGCGCTGCAGGACATACCCCATGCTGATAAACCAGCCTCATATCTGTAAGGGAAAACCCTTCCTGCTGCTGGCGGTCAAATCCCTGATCCCACACTTTGACCGGCGGCAGGCCATCCGTGAAACATGGGGTCGGGCGGGGGTCATAGCTAATCGCTCAGTGGTGACGGTGTTCCTGCTAGGCAACACCTTGCCCGTGGATCACTTCCCAGACCTGCTGGGGATGCTGGACCACGAGGCGAAGCTCCACAAAGACGTCCTCCAGTGGGACTACCGGGACACCTTCTACAACCTCACCCTGAAGGAGGTCCTGTTCCTGGAGTGGTTCAGCGAACACTGCCCCCATGGCCAGTTCATCCTGAAGGGTGACGACGATGTCTTCGTCAACACCGTACGGATTGTAGACCTCCTGGAGGGCCTGCCGGAGAAAAAAGCCAAGGATCTGTTCATAGGTGATGTTATCAATGACGCTGGGCCTCACAGGAACCGGAGACTCAAGTACTTTGTCCCGGAGAGTGTGTTTGCGGGGATGTACCCGACTTATGCAGGTGGCGGAGGATATCTGTACTCGGGGGAGTTGGCTCTGCGTCTCCACAACGCATCCCGGCAGGTGGTGCTGTATCCCATTGACGATGTCTACACGGGGATGTGTCTGAAGAAGCTGGGCCTGGCTCCTGAGAAGCATGAAGGATTCAGGACGTTTGGCATTGATGCGAAGTACAGGGACAACCCGTGCGTCTACAGGAACTTGATGCTGGTGCACAGCCGCACGCCACAGGAGATGTTGACCATCTGGCCGTGGATCATCCACCCGGAGCTGGACTGCCAGTGAGGGTCAAGTCAGGTTAGTTTATGGATTTATGAAGAGAACTGGATACAGAGTTGGAGGTGGGACCCCGTTTTGTCCAATGAAAGTTGCTCAGTAGTGTATGAAGCCAAAATGGTCTGACTCTCGAGTACAAAAATGTTTTCCTAAATTGTGATTAATAAAGAACATCTTATCATTTTATCTTATCTTAAAAGTACCCGTATCTGGGCCCATAGAGCATGGGCACTTGTGTGTTGCTTAAGCCCCGCCTCCTATCTCCTATTCTTGGCTCAGTCAAATGAATGGAGAGGTAAAATAATCCTGAATTTAGCTTTTAGCCCCTTTTACAACTTTTACTACCTAATGATTTAAATAAGCGCTATAGAGTGTTCGTGATGGGTAGATTTACAGACATGACAACGGGAAAACGTTTTTTCAGCCCAATGAAATCACTGACTGACAGAAGATGTAATACCGCCGTTTGGCCACTGCGAATAGAATTTGCTTCAATATCCGGCACACTTTCTGGGGGCCTGGGTTACTCCATACATTGGGAAAGAGACATCTGTATTCTTTTTTTAAGTTAAGTAAACTACCCAGTACAAACACTTTTAAATACCTCTTCAAAATCTATGTTATCGACCTCTTCAAATCATTAGGGTCTAAAAGTTGTGAAATGTGCTAAAAGCTAAATCCCCTCTCCATTCATTTGACTGAGTCGAGAGCGGGAAATCGGAGTTAGGGCTTAAGGAAAACTCAAGTGTGCTCAATGGGCCCAGATCCAGGAACCTTTTTATCTACTGTCACTCCATTCGTGGACCTGTCTCCAATGCTGTATCCAATTCTCTTTATACATCCATAGGTTACTCCCGTAGGGTCCTTGGGGCACTTTGATGACTCCCTATCTGCCTCCAAATACCCTGATTTTCCGCCGGTCTCATGCACTCCACTGCTGTTTTCCACCTCTTTATGTTAGTCAGCCATTCTCTCCTTGGTATTCATGCACCGCCTTTAAATGTTCCTGCTGCTCCATATCTTATCTAGTTTTACAAACTGACCTCTAGCAATGGCCACTCCTCTCTGTTTTTACAAATCCAAGGTGTTACACATATACCTGAGGCTGCCAGTGAACACCTGCATATGTGTTTGCACTATTGAGATTACACCTTGATGTGTTGAACCCTGTTGCAGCAACCTGAAATCAGTCCTGTCTAGAGAGAGTCAGGCAACAATTGCACAAAACACAATATTTTGTGTAAGATCTGTTAATGGCATGGCCTTGTCCTAGTGAGTACATCATACAGTGAGTTACATACAGACTTTTAAAGGGTATGCATGTTGTAAAACCCCCTCTGTACCATGAACCTGCTTTCAACGAGACGTATACACTGCAGGGAATTTCAAGGATAGTTTATTTCTCCTCCAACAGATCCTTAATTTTTATTGTTATACAACACGCCATCCGATACCTTAAAACATCTGATTCACAAAGATCAAATGCTTTGGGACTTTACAGTATTTATATTACATTACATTTAGCTGACGCTTTTATCCAAAGCGACTTTCAATAAGTGCATTCGACCAGGAAGATACAAACTTGAAGAAAACAGAATCATACAAGTACATCAGGTTTCATAGAGCCAAAACATTTCAAGTGCTACTGAACTGGCTTTAGATAAGCCAGTCCTTTATTAGTATATAAGTGCTTTGTTAGCAATTCTTTGTTATAACCGTTAAACAATTTCTATTTCAATCCTCAAGTCCCAGCAAAACCTGTGAGTTAGTAATATTTTATTTTAGTTATCAACAGTGTTTTTAAGCGGACTCTATACATATAATATTTGTTTTTCAACTATCTGTATAATACTTGAAAGTAAGCATTTGGGAAACTGACCAAACAAAAATGACCCCTTGCTAATGTTAGCCAGATAGTATATGCACACAATAGTTTTTCAAATCAAAATTCATGCATTCATGCCAACTGTGCACAAAGCAGTGTTAGTGGTAAAAGATACGTTTTTGGTACGTAGTGTGTTAAGTCAAGAAAAACGTTGGTAACTGATATTTTCCTACATTTATCACAACGTTTACTACTACTGCTGCTTCTACTAAAAGGAGATGAACTCTGATCCCACACAGACTGTTTTCTGTAAAGCCAAAACAAGACGACAGAGTTTATACATTAAAAATCTACATTTTGTAGTTATTATTAAATGCTCAGTGTTGTTTTTAACATCTCAAATGTGATGTTGCTGCTGTTACTGTGCATTCATTCTCTGTATTTGTATTTTAATAATATATTGTAAGCAATAAATGTGTTTTTCCATCACCTTCATCAACAGATTTGTTTGGGTTCACTCTGGTCCTGTTTTCAATGGTTTGTTTAAATGGTTTTGGTGATACAAATCTGTTCCAATGAGAATAAAAAAATATGTCTTGTGTTTTTGTTATCCTTTTTTTATTATTAAGTTGACAATACACATTTATTTTACATTTCCCAAAAATTATTTCCACATTCACTTATTATTTATTTTAATTAAGTTTGCATTTTATTTTATTAGAATATTTCATTATTATTTTTATATAATGGGCTGACACTTGTCCTCTTCTCTTTTGTTGATTTTGTCATTAAAAATCGGTTCCACTTAGTGAAAATAATAAAATATCTTTTGTGTTTTGCCTTTGGAGTACATTACATTACATTACATGTTACTTGTAAGTCGCTTTTATCCAAAGCGACTTACATACTCAATACTGTGGACAATCCCCACAGGAGCAATTTGGGGTGAAGTGTCTCAGGGACACAACGACATGCTGACTGCAGTGGGGTTTGAACCTGTGCTCCCCTGATCCGAACACCAACGCACAACCCACTGCACCACACGCCTCCCTATGGAGAAATATTAGATTTTGTTCAATATTTGTATTATTTTGTTGACAACAACAATAACCCAAAAGCAATAAGTAAGATTTTTTTTTTTATATAACTTAACGGTGGGGTAGGTAATTTTGGAGAAACCATCTCGAGTGCGCTGGAATTTGAAAATACACAGCCGGAGAAAATCTGCCACTTCCTTACAGAGCCCCTCCAACACACACGAACGCACACATGACCAATGAGGGCACGAGATAAGTTTGTGCACAGATGGAAGGCTGACAGGCAGGTAGGCCATCCAGTTATTTTAGCCGGGCCGGCTCAAATGATTGGTCGTGCTTTTTACAGTACTACGGCTTCCACAGATGACATTTTTTTATGGATTTTTTGTCAAAGCACTTAAGATATTCATTGCTATCGGGATGTTAAGAGCATTCCATGGAATATAACAAGTGATGAGAATATTTGTATTATTATTCTTATCGTTGTAATTATGAAAAAGGTTATTGTTAATATTAATAGAAACATTATCTTGCTAGACAGTGGTGTCGACAGAAGTTTAACATAAAGCCTATTTTATATATATTTTAACAATCTTATTTACACTTTACTGACTACTTTCAAAGTCAACTTTATTGTCAATCTTCCAGTTCGTGTGTACAAAGAGACCGAAATACCGTTTCCCACAATCCCGAATATAAAAACCAATGTATATAAAAATATAAAAACATGTGTGCAAATATGTATGTATATATACACAGTCAAAGACACATTTTTACATGTGCACACATTAAGACCTAAAAAAAACACAACAATGAATATATACAAAATAACAGTCACTTCAATATTTTGAGAATGTGCATTAGTGCACGATTGTCCATAGCACTAATGCACATTCTATGGACAATCTACTTTGCTTATTGTTTACTTATTTATGGTCTTCTATACAATAATTGTGTTCTAATGTTTTGTAAGGACTATAAGGATAGGATATTTACTGATACAAACACAGCTACAACATTTATGTTATTTTAAGTCTTAAAAGTCAGTCTTTTAGTCAGAGCGGAGCACGACTCCTGACTTTTCCCTGTGTTTTTTTTAAAATATCTGTTGTAATTTATTGTCTTTTATTGTGATTATAGAAATGTGTTTTTATGTGATTGTAGTTATTACATGTACAGCACTTTGGCCCGACCAAAAATCGCTTTTAAATGTGCTTTATAAATAAACCTTGATTTGATTTGATTTGATTTGATTTAAAAAAATATGCATTTGTCCCTGCTGGATAAAAGTGTATTGGGAATTTGAACCATTACATGAGGATAGGCTGGAGGATAGAGATGTGAACCCAACAGGGACCTCTGGTGGACGGATCAGCTGTTCACATGCGGGGAAACAATCAGCTTCCTGATGAATTTCAGCTGCTCACACAGGAAGGCAAACAGCAGTTGAACTGAAACTGTGAAGCACTAAGACTAGTTTAACAGACAAAGTAATAAAATGCCTGAAAAGAACAGTATTAGCTTTAAAAGAGTGCTGCTCATATTTCTGCTGATATTTGGGGTGTTTTGGAAGCAGTGTGACTCCCAGGTAGGACTAACATGAGACGTTGTTTTGTGTTCATACTTTAAAATAGTTTAATTCATTGTTTGTTTTGCTTTCTTGTGTTTGCAGGTGATGAGAGAAGAAGCCAACAAGCCTCCAGGTGACACTCGACCAAAAGGTATTTGTCATGTGATTTGAATGGGAATGTGTGGCTTTTTACTTGTCTGTGCATTTGAAAATCAGCAGGTAAACTAATCTGTGAACACAGATCTACACGTTTTTTCCGATTATCTAACGATTATCTAAATTTCGGAATTTCCTTCCATGTTAGCCGTAAATCTTCAAATCAAATCTATATTGACATCTCTTTCTATATTTGTTACTTGATTTAAAATAATCTGAAAACCATGTTGGAAATATAAGAAAATGGCAGCTTTTTAACTAAAATATGGCGTTTTCTTTTTTTATTAATGCATTAAACTAAACAGCATTTTTAAACTACTATTCTGTAGGCAGCCTATCATTTACACATTTTAGATACTTATTTTCTTAGGTCACATTTTTCTGGTGTTTTACATAATACACTTAAGTACAAATCATCCTATGTATATGTATTTACTCGTGTTTATTGGAATTGCACTTGATATTGAGTTAATCGAAAAGTAATGCAAAGTATTCAGGTAACATTACTTGTTTTGTTATACTCTGATTAGATTAAACATTTTTCGGTAACTAGTAATTGTAACTGAATACATTTTTAAAGTTACCCTCCCAACCCTGATTAATAGATAGTAATTAGCTCAACAATGACTTCACTGCACTTTGGGATGACTTTTAGTAACGAAAGGTGCTTTACAAATCAAATGTATTATTATTATTGCTAGTGTTGTGTGAACTGATAATAAGTACTGTCTCAAGAAAAAAAGTGCAGAAGGAAACATCCATTAAACTCAGTGTGCTGCTCTGTGATGCTAGCTCAAGCAGATACTTGGCATCTCATCTTGGGTGCAAGTTCATCAATGTTTGGGGTCAGGCTCTGAGCTGAGGAGACCCTCAGGATGGAGTGAAGGTGTGTGTGCAATATACCGGCGGGCCAGATCGAATAGTAATTAGAAATTATCCTGCGGGCCAAAATTAAATCCACCAAGGGCCTGATTTGGCCCCCGGGCCTTAAGTTTGACACATGTGATCTAAAGTAACAGACAGAGAATCAGCACTTTTGAAACAGGGCTGAAACAGAGGGGATTATGGGATGCTGCAATGATCTGTTTGGTGTTTGGAGCCAATCACTTCAGAGACATGTTCTGTATATATCTGAGACCTATAATATATTGTTTAAAAAGAGTATATTAGGGGACCTTTAAACCCACAGTTGTTCTGTTTCCCCTCAGAAGGTCGTGGAGGAGACGGCGGCGCCTTCTTCGCCCTGCGGAGCTGCCACCAGCTGCTGCAGGGCGACTCCGGGTACTTCTACTCCCCGGACTACATGTGCTCCAACCCCCCCCTGTGGTGCAACTGGACCATCCAGGTGGCCCCTGCCAAGAGGATCGAGCTGCACCTGGAGGACCTGACCCCCGACGACGCCTGCCACCTCAAAGACGACCAGGTGCACGTGGACGAGCCCGCGGGACATTTTGGGGGCACCAACGTCCTGCAGAAGTGCTGGAAAGAGGCCAAATACACGTCCTCCTCCAACACTCTGTACGTGGTGCTGCTGATCGGGGGTTGGCCCAACCCGCCCTACAGGGGCTTCTACGGACGATACCAGGTGTCATGTTTTTTTGTTTGAAGACCAAGAGTTAGTCTAAAGAAGACCAGGAAGCTTCTCGAAAAGTTTAACAGTATTTATTAAGGCAATAGTATAGTAGGTTGACAAGGGAACACAGCTGTGGTTCCTAAATCCAATGCACGGGTCCACAGTCCACTTTAAGCAGTTAGCTGTCTGCAGTTGCAAGAATGAAAGCGAACGTTTCTCTCTATAACGTCGTATTTATATTGTAGTTAGTCTTCTTCCATTGGCTGATGTCGACGGAGGCGGGTCTTCTTCTGTAGTCCTCTGATGACGTAGCATGGCACATCTCTTATGATATTTTATTATACAATTCTTGTGATGTTTGTTGGTCATTAAACACATAGTAATAGTAGTAATGCAGCGTAGATGAGTGAGAGTTGGAGACGGTGCATTTAGTATGTAAAAAGCACTGCTACAGTAAATGATGTCCCTTAAAGTTCCGCCACAATATATTGATTATTCCTCCCACAGGCCTTCGGACCCCCCGTGGTTTACAACCCTCAGGAGGGACTACCAGAAACAAACATGGGGTCACAAACTCTTCCTTCTGAACTCTTGGAGTTAAATGAATTTCTAGATCCAAGTCCTGAACTCATGTATGACTATAACAATCAGCCTTCAGAGATGACGGCCGAGAATGAGGATGGTGCGGACACTGAGGTGGGAATCAAACCTTCAACTGTAATGCCTGGCTCTACCAAATTGGTTATATCCACACTATTAGAGTGGTGCAGGGGTGATGGAATTTGTAATATTGCAGAAAATAGGCTTGGACATGTTAACATTATCTATCTAACCAAATCAACCCACAGATACAAATGATTAACTTAAACCTATCTTTCCTTCAGGTGGCTGAAAATCACCGTCCATCGTTGGAGAGCGACAGCCAAGCCGCTCCCACAGTGGAATCATCCACTCAGGTAACGTCTCGATGGGGCAGAGAAGCCTCTCAAACCCCTTCAGACCCGTCAGATTCATCCGTCCCTCCACAGCAGGAGGGGGAGGGTCAGAACCAGGTGGAGGAGGGTCAGAACCAGGTGGAGGAGGGTCAGAACCAGGTGGAGGAGGGTCAGAACCAGGTGGAGGAGGGTCAGAACCAGGTGGAGGAGGGTCAGAAGCAGGTGGAGGAGGGTCAGAACCAGCAGCTCAAACCCACTGAAGTCATCCCGACAGCTGCTGTGGAGGAAGCTTCGGCACATCCAGAGGAAGCTACTGCTGCAGAGAAGGAGAAGTCTGCAGACAATAAGAGCAGGAAGGAGGTCATCGAGGCCTCGGATCAACTTCCTGTCTCCTCTGAGGAACCAGAACCAGAGGAGACTCATCCTCATCCCAACATGGTGGAGCCGCTGTCAGACCAGAGAGCGCACCGTGAGTCCATCTGTGTTTTCATTCAGAACAACTTACTCTACGCTGAAATGCATTTCATTTGAACCATTATTTTCTCAATGTTTAGATTGATGAACATTTTGGGAGCATTTAGTAGTTAGGGTTGGATTAGATAAATGCTTCTGTATAATGCATCGACTCTTTACAATTCTAGATGTGTTAGTGAGATATATTTTACTTTACTTTTAATACTTTGTTACGTGTCTATAGGCCCTTATTCTCAAGCTTAAGTGTCTGGGGAAAATAATGCAAATGGTAACATTTGAAACTACCTGAACCACCGATGTATTTGATATGCATCACAATGTTATACACATCTAGTTATATAATTTAGACATATGTTTCAAGGCCATTGCCTGAAAAGCACTGTTCTAGACCATATAAACAAAGTGACATGTTTAGCAATGATTTTAAAAAGTCACAGGAGACATAATGCTGTTTGTGTCTCTCTCTTGTAGCCCGCATCAGAAATCACTCTGACATTTCACATCTTCCTGGCGGTGAGTATTGGACACATAATGCACATCTTCAAAATGTGTTTATTTTCTGTTAATATTTCACAGGATACAAACATCACATGCAGGAGGCTGACGCTGTGTTTTGGGGCGTTGACAGATTACCTTTTTGAAGTGGCTGTGGAAGTGAACTTCAGTCCAAATGTGGAGGAGAGCTGGGACAACCTGGCCATGTCCCTGCTGTTCTCTGTGGAGGCTTTGGTGAGTTGGTGACAACAAAGCAACACAATTTAAAGAGGTCATAATATGCTTTTGGGGTTTTCCCTTTCCTGTAGTGTGTTTTAGTGCAACGGCTAAAATCCCTGTGTTCCCATCGTCCCCATTACATCACTCGCGCTTCTGTTGCACTCCAACACATTGTACGTGATAGGCTAAGGGGCGGGACATCTCTAAGCGGTTGACCAATCACAACAGAGCCGGCCAGCTAACCAATCAGAGCAGACTGGGCTCTGGTTTCAGACAGAGGGTGAAAAGAGGTGCTGCAGCACAGGCAGTAAGAGAACAATAAAGAGCTTTTTGAACATTAAAGGAGACATGTCACAGAAGAGACACTACATACTGATATACACCTGAACATCAGCAGGAGAGGACTCTTTAAAGTAGAGGCACTGCATACTGATATACACCTGAACATCAGCAGGAGAGGACTCTTTAAAGTAGAGGCACTGCATACTGATATACACCTGAACATCAGCAGGAGAGGACTCTTTAAAGTAGAGACACTACATACTGATATACACCTGAACATCAGCAGGAGAGGACTCTTTAAAGTAGAGACACTACATACTGATATACACCTGAACATCAGCAGGAGAGGACTCTTTAAAGTAGAGACACTACATACTGATATACACCTGAACATCAGCAGGAGAGGACTCTTTAAAGTAGAGGCACTGCATACTGATATACACCTGAACATCAGCAGGAGAGAACTCTTTAAAGGAGAGACACTACATACTGATATACACCTGAACATCAGCAGGAGAGGACTCTTTAAAGTAGAGACACTACATACTGATATACACCTGAACATCAGCTGGAGAGGACTCTTTAAAGTAGAGACACTACATACTGATATACACCTGAACATCAGCAGGAGAGGACTCTTTAAAGTAGAGACACTACATACTGATATACACCTGAACATCAGCAGGAGAGGACTCTTTAAAGTAGAGACACTACATACTGATATACACCTGAACATCAGCAGGAGAGGACTCTTTAAAGTAGAGACACTACATACTGATATACACCTGAACATCAGCAGGAGAGGACTCTTTAAAGTAGAGACACTACATACTGATATACACCTGAACATCAGCAGGAGAGGACTCTTTAAAGTAGAGACACAACATACTGATATACACCTGAACATCAGCAGGAGAGGACTCTTTAAAGTAGAGACACTAAATACTGATATACACCTGAACATCAGCAGGAGAGGACTCTTTAAAGTAGAGACACTACATACTGATATACACCTGAACATCAGCAGGAGAGGACTCTTTAAAGTAGAGACACTACATACTGATATACACCTGAACATCAGCAGGAGAGGACTCTTTAAAGTAGAGGCACTGCATACTGATATACACCTGAACATCAGCAGGAGAGAACTCTTTAAAGGAGAGACACTACATACTGATATACACCTGAACATCAGCAGGAGAGGACTCTTTAAAGTAGAGACACTACATACTGATATACACCTGAACATCAGCTGGAGAGGACTCTTTAAAGTAGAGACACTACATACTGATATACACCTGAACATCAGCAGGAGAGGACTCTTTAAAGTAGAGACACTACATACTGATATACACCTGAACATCAGCAGGAGAGGACTCTTTAAAGTAGAGACACTACATACTGATATACACCTGAACATCAGCAGGAGAGGACTCTTTAAAGTAGAGACACTACATACTGATATACACCTGAACATCAGCAGGAGAGGACTCTTTAAAGTAGAGACACTACATACTGATATACACCTGAACATCAGCAGGAGAGGGACTCTTTAAAGTAGAGACACAACATACTGATATACACCTGAACATCAGCAGGAGAGGACTCTTTAAAGTAGAGACACTAAATACTGATATACACCTGAACATCAGCAGGAGAGGACTCTTTAAAGTAGAGACACTACATACTGATATACACCTGAACATCAGCAGGAGAGGACTCTTTAAAGTAGAGACACTACATACTGATATACACCTGGGGCCTCATTTATAACGCCTTGCGTAGGATTGACGTAGGAAGGTTGCTTACGTAGTACAAAGCACAAAAATAGGTACATACATTTTCCGCCATTTTCCGATTCACAAAACGTTGCGTACCGGCGAGGGAAGTGCGTACGGCACTTCCTACGCCTGTTTCCCTTGATAAATCACAATCGACTCGTAACGCCCATATTTGCCTATACATAGTCAAAGAAACGCCCATTCATTCATTCATTTTTGACTGACTGCATGAAGAAGATCGCAGGAAATAAGACATCTCACACCGTGTCAGATTTTGGTTATTGTGGGGAGGTCGAGATAAATCATATTGTTTGGTGGATGCAGTTTGAACCAGAGTAGCAGCATGGAGGTCGGATCGTCACCAAAATAAATAATAAGTGGTCCGAAAAAAGTTAATGACAAAAAAAATACACATAACCTTCCTCAGGCAGTGTGTTTGTCCCGGGGACAGGAGACACCCCCTTGATGAGAAACTGTAAGAAATGATCGGGGAATCCCTCCGGAGTGTAGTCATGACGACTGGATCTGAATTATTTTTGTTATATTTGGTGGTTTGTGTTCCAGCTGTCGATCAGCAACTATATATCCATAATCCACCAGTTAAAGGAAATACAACTAATGTGTTGTGTTATATTAGCTGTACAATTTACCACATATGGTGTTCTTAGTTTCCATACCTCCTGTGTTTTACGAGCGACTTATCAAGTCTTGGCAAACGGCATAAAACACGATTAAACGTGATAGTATATAAAACCATGCTCGTATCTACAACCTATAGAAATGGAAAACGGCGTCAGTTTAGACGTAATTCTGTCCTCCTGCTTACCGCATCATTTATGAGAAAACATTTCATAACATTAACACAACATATTCGAGGTGGTTTTAAATAGCATATCCGTATTTATTTATTTCTCCAAGTTATGTTTTTGTGTGCACGGAGGAGTCTCAAACAGGCGTTTGTTTAATCATTTAAAGATTGGCTTTAATCAATGTTTGAAAATGAATTCTTCATATTTGATAAATGAGAGGTAACATTTTATTTATGGTATTATTTCTACATATTTCTCTCCATTCTTCCTTCTGCCAACGGTGTCGCAGTTTCTCGTCTCTCCCGTGTGTGTGCTTAGTGCGTACGCATGGGTTAGAGTTTGCGTGGAGGACCGCACATTTTCCCGTCAAGTTAGTATTTTATAAATCGCAAACATTGCGTAGAAACTGGCGTACGCCATTTTTTGAGTGTATATCCCTTTATAAATGAGGCCCCTGAACAGCAGCAGAATATGGCCCCTTTAAGGTTGCTTCATTTACCATGCATGTAGAGTTTATGTTGTTAAAAAGAAGCAGGTGCATGTGTTACCTGAAGTTGTTGTGTTCCTGTAGATCAGTAAGCAGCTGGAGACTCTGCATACGCCGCTGTCCATGTCGTCTGAAAGACTTAAAAGGTTGGTGAACAAACACTAACGGTACAATCTGCAGGTTTGTGTTTAAAAATACTTAAACCGAGAGGGTACACATGTTTAACCTGTGGAGGCAGACGAAAAAAGCAAATGAAAGTCAGGTGACTTTGCCTCGTTTCGTTTACTTCTCCTTTTACTAAAGACGTCATGAGAGATGCAAGAAAAGAGAAAGCAAGGAAACATGTTTTTGTGAAGCAAGGCTCCCTTTCTGCCTTTTTTTTAAAGCATGAATGTTTTGGTTATTCTATCCAACATGAGCTCAGAAAACCTACCTGTTTTCAGCTTTGAATATTCATTTTTCAGGCTTTTCAAATACCTTGTATTGTTGAAGAAGTAAACAAGCATTTTGCCACCTTGTTACCTTCACTTGCATCTTAGATCCTCTCACTAAAGACATGAAGAGAAGTGCAAAGAGTGATCAATCAAGGAAACGTGATTTTGTGAAATGACTCTTAAAGGTCCCCTATTATACTGTTTTTCATCAATATATTACAGGTCTCAGATATATATATATATACAGAACCTGTCTCTGAAGTGTTTGGCACCAAACAGATCATTGCAGCATCCCATAATCCCCTCTGTTTCAGCCCTGTTTCAAAAGTGCTCATTCTGTTTCAGCCCTGTTTCAAAAGTGCCCCTCCCCACGCCCCTCTGAGAGATATTTGGTTAAAAAGAACACAATGGTGCTCTAGGAGGAGATTCAGGTGATAAGGTGTGTGTGGGGGGGGGGGGTACCTTGGTTGCTGATTGGCTAATGGTTACACAAGCCAAAACATCGTTATGACATCATAAAGTGGCCAAAATCTGATCAGCTTATTTTCAGACAGGTTTTTATAGAAATGGATCAGGACAAAAAGAGAGAGAATCTTTTCTCCTGAAACCTTCAGAGTCTCTTTACACAGAGGGGACACATGGTGATGTAGAAGAGACATGAAGAAGAGGGGACACATGTTGATGTAGAAGAGACATGAAGAAGAGGGGACACATGTTGATGTAGAAGAGACATGAACAAGTGGATTTTGCCTGATAGGTGACCTTTAAGTGGTTGTTATTATTTTACATTACAGCTCAAACAATCTCAACTCTTGGTGCACTCAATAGCTGATGTACCTGTTGACCTGTGAGCTCAGATCTGATCTCAGAGATGCTCCTGGTTGTTTGCAGGCTGAGTGCTGGAGCGCTGTTCATCGTGTGGCTGCAGCTGGATCAGGGTCCTGGAGGTCTGCAGGTCCACAGGACGCTGCACTCCGCCCTGCAGGGACTCATCTCAACACACGTGGGCGTCAGAGGAAACGGCAGGAAGGCTGTCATCCTCTCCGTGTCCACTGCAGGTACAGCTGGGCTTCAGTTTGACACAGAGTGGGAAAGTTACTTTAATTTAAACTGCTGACTTTAATTACATGACATTTCATTTGGCTGATGCTTTTATCCAAAGCATCAAGATTCAAACTGCGTACAAATAAAGGGCAAATATATTCACTTCAAGCAAGACATACTGTTGTAAGTGCTGGTGAATTAGTTTCAAGGCCTAAATAAAATTCTGTTAATTTTTGGGGGTTTATTTTTGTAGAACTTTTTTAAATGTGTTTACATAAGAAATGTAACTGTTGTATGTGTTTTATTTTAATTAATATGAAAGCAGAATTTTATTTTGCTCATTTTGAACTACCATTTTTTTCCTTATAGACTAATCGGCAAATTTTTCTCCATTTAATCTGTCAACTTTTTCGGTTTGTAAACTATAAATAATTGTTTTTTAAATGGGAAAGAAAACATTTATTCGGCTGATAATGTATATGGCGGGTGTCAGATGTGTAATTAAAAAATGATTTGAGTAAATGTATTTGTGGCAGGATCCTAATACCAGCTGTGGAAGGTAACTACAGTAACAGAAGAATGGACGTGCACCACCTTAGGAGGAAGTTACACATCTCAGTAAAGGCTGCTAACATTAATAAATGTGTATGTGTGTTTCAGATGTGGACGAGTGTGTGTCGCAGCTGGTGCGCTGTGACCTTAACGCAGTCTGTGAGAACCGGTTCGGATCGTACTCGTGTCGCTGCAGGTCAGGCTTCCAGGACGAGTCCCGCCTCGGGTCGGCAGGAACTGTGTGTGTGAATCAGAACGCTGCAGGTGAGCTGGACTCTCTCACACACACTGATTTAATTAAGATGAACTCAGTTAAAGAGTCCAGAAGCAGGGAGGGATACTGATCCGACCCACAAGGAAGAGACACCACAAAGAAACATTGAAAGACTACACAGAGATATCAGACAAATAGAGTCAAAATGACTATGAATAAGAGGGAAATAACCACACAGACAAACACAGTATGGGCAAAACAAGCACAGACAAAAAATACCCACCAAACGACCACAAAAACGACGATGGAGAGAAATCGAGACAAACACCCGTTGACTACAATTACTCATGACACCTCTACAAAGATGCACTTAACAACTTCAATGGCACAAAAGAAACACAAAACAACTGCTAAGACATACAAAACGACCAAAACCAGACACAAATTGACCCTAAAGAGACTCACAACGACTACAAAACGACACTAAAGAACGACAAAGTCTTTGTGTGTAGCTCCCATGTGGGACAGTTGGTAGTGGGTCCCTGTGCATGTCTATGTTAGAATAGATAGAATTGGAGGATGAAACCCTCTTTAATTGTCACACATGCATGCACACAGCACACACAGTGAAAGTTGACCTGCTTTTAACCAGCGATGGCAAAAGTACACGCATCCTTTACTCAAGTAGAAGTACAGATACTCGTGTTTAAAAATACTCTGGTAGAAGTACTGACTAAACTTTTTACTCAAGTAAAAGTATGGGCTTCAAAAAGTACCCCTAACTTTGTGTCCTTGGGCGAGACACTTCACCCTAATTTGCTGTATTCACTGTTGCATGTCTTATGTGTAATATGTGATGTGAAGTGCTTTGAGCATTCGGAAAAGTGCTCTAATAAATGTAAGGAAACGCAGATTAAGACTAAAGTAACAAGCCTGTTTTGAAAATGTAGAAAGTACAGGTATTTGTGTTAATGTAAAAGTAAAGAAAATGTCCGGTGCCTTGCTCAAGGGCACCACGGCAGGGCCCTGGAGGTGAACTGGGACCTCTCCAAGTAGCAGTCCACAGTCCATATTTAGGTCTGTTCGGGGACTTGAACCGGCGACCCTACGGCTCACAGTCCCTACTGACTGAGCCTCTGCATGTCTATGTTCAGAGCCCTCTGTCTTCTTGTCCAGATGTGATGGTCCCCTGACTTCCTGTTGTCTCTTCAGGCTGCAGCTCGTCCTCAGAGTCTCGAGGCGTCTACGTTCTCTTCTTCCTGCTGAGCTCGGTGCTGCTGCTGCTGCTGGGGGCCGGCGGGCTGCTGTACCTCCGCCACCACAGGGGGGCCTTCCTGCTGCGGGGCCACGCCGACCACAACAACAACAACAACACCAACAACACCACCACCCACTACTATCATGCTGACTCTGAGCTGCCCCCCCCACCCCCTCCTGCCCGGGGCTTCAGGGACGTCCCGCTGCAGCGCTTCAGCTCCCTGCTGCCGGGGGGGCAGGGAGGGAAGATGTGAGCAACAGAGTATCTTTAAAAACATTTAGTTTATTTTGTTTGATTTCAGTTTCATCTGATGCTGTTCACTGTCTGAATTAAAGCACGACAAAACAGCTTGTGTTTTCTGTCTCTGCTTTTACGCACGTTTTATTTTACTTTTTTAAATGGGCCGCCAAAAAACATTCATGGCAAGGCTTACATAACGGCACCTGTTGTACACTGACTTTTGATACTAACGTGTACAAATGTGCATTTATCCTTCAAGGATGTAAGGAAATATAAGCTGTAAACTCTTTGGATCGTTACAAAATAATCTTTATTTATGTAGGACTTTCTTATACAAGGAATGCAGCACTATAAAGGAAAGAGTAACATAGAATATAAACAAAAACAGGCATAACTATATGTAAAATACGATTAAAATGTAAACGACTAGATAATAGAAAAAATGTATCCTATACTGAATAGAATACATGGATGCATAACATAAGATGGAAAAATTAAACTCATATTTGCAGCATGCACATAGAATAAACCTTGCAGCAGCATCAAAAAGTCTACTCTCATATCTTTATTTTACGTCAATGGTGGACATGTAAGACTTAAACTCAGTTTTATAAACTCAGTGCACTCTTTAGCTGAGTTTCAGCCGGCTCCTGCAGCACTGTGAGCATCCTGCAGGGACTGAGTGAGTCCAGAGCGCTTTAATAGGTTTACAGCAGCTAATCCAGGGCGGTGGGCCGTCACATGGGGAGTCTGCTGACCTCAGCCTGCTTTATTACAGGGTGACTGTTCCTTCAGCCCACAACAAGGCTTCTCTTCAGCGGATGTGCTATACACAGAATTTCAATAAATGTAATCCGAGTTGGGAAGTAGTGGAGTACAAATACTTTGTTACTGTACTTAAGTAAATGTTTCTGGTATCAGTACTTTACTCCATTACTTATTTTTCTGACTACTTTTTAATTTACCTTATTACATTTTGAACACAAATACCTGAACTTTCTACTTCTGACATGTTGAACACAAATACCTGAACTTTCTACTTCTTACATTTCGAACACAAATACCTGTACTTTCTACTTCTTACATGTTGAACACAAATACCTGTACTTTCTACTTCTTACATTTTGAACACAAATACCTGTACTTTCTACTTCTTACATTTTGAACCCAAATACCTGTACTTTCTACTTCTTACATTTTGAACACAAATACCTGTACTTTCTACTTCTTACATTTTGAACACAAATACCTGTACTTTCTACTTCTTACATTTTGAACACAAATACCTGTACTTTCTACTTACATTTTGAACACAAATACCTGTACTTTCTACTTCTTACATTTTGAACTCAAATACCTGTACTTTCTACTTCTTACATTTTGAACACAAATACCTGTACTTTCTACTTCTTACATGTTGAACACAAATACCTGTACTTTCTACTTCTTACATTTTGAACACAAATACCTGTACTTTCTACTTCTACATTTTGAACACAAATACCTGTACTTTCTACTTCTTACATGTTGAACACAAATACCTGTACTTTCTACTTCTTACATGTTGAACACAAATACCTGTACTTTCTACTTCTTACATGTTGAACACAAATACCTGTACTTTCTACTTCTTACATTTTGAACACAAATACCTGTACTTTCTACTTCTACATTTTGAACACAAATACCTGTACTTTCTACTTCTTACATGTTGAACACAAATACCTGTACTTTCTACTTCTACATTTTGAACACAAATACCTGTACTTTCTACTTCTTACATGTTGAACACAAATACCTGTACTTTCTACTTCTTACATGTTGAACACAAATACCTGTACTTTCTACTTCTCACATTTTCCAAACAGGCTGGTTCCTTTAGTTTGAATGTGTGTCTGGTGGCGTGATCATTATTATTTAGAGTCATTGCGTGCCTATTGATTTGAACACGATCCGTGTATCCATCATTTCCTGGTCTTCTCTAAAGAAGAGGGACCAATGAAAACGTTGTCATGTTGCCGTTGTTCAGCATGGAAACATTCATTAGCTAACAATGACATTATTGTTCTATTAATATAAAGGGAGGTCAGGTACTCTTTAAAACAGCTGCTAGTTATGGGTACTTTTTACTGAAGTACATTTCAAAGGCTCTTTACTTTTACTTGAGTAAAGAAGTTTAGTGAGTACTTCTACTTTCACCAGAGTATTTTTAAACATGAGTATCTGTACTTCTACTTGAGTAAAGGATGTGTGTACTTTTGCCATATCTGAATGTAAAACAAAAGCTCGGGGGGCAAGTATGAACCATCTGAAGTGTCATAACGAATTGTCAAATTGTGATGCTAAATTAAAAAGGGATAGAGTGATGCAGGGATGACATTTTTCTGAAGGCCAACCAGGAAGTTAGCATCACAAGGGCGCCCTCAACAAAAAGCCATAAGGGTTCTTCCATTAGACTTTGGATTATTGAAGAATATCAAGGTAGCCGACGGGTGCAAACACGCTACAACGACCCAAAACACATCCAGAGGAATCGGTTTCAAAACAGTGTAAATATAAAAACACAAATGTGCAACAACACATGCAAACGAAGAAACATCTTCACCAACTTGACTAAACATACTAAAAGCACTGCATTAACAAAATGCTGCAAGAACAAAACGCTGCATGAAGCTCAGAACACAACGGAAACCAGGGGACCAGGTTCAAGGTTAGTTTATTTGTGTAGCACATTTTAAGACCAAGGCAACTTCAAAGTGCTTCACATAGGCATTTAACCAATAATGATTAGCACACAGCTGGGACCGCAGCACTTGATGATGTTGGGGGGGTTCTTCATTTGCACGTGTTTTGGCACATTTGTGTTTTTAACTTTTTATATTTGCATCATTTTTTAAGCTGCAGCACATTTTTCCTGATGGAAGAGTTTTGGGCCGTTGTACCACGTTTGCACCTGTAGTCGTCTCATTTAGATACCCACTGACACATAGAAGCTTAGACATTTATCAGTGGGGTAATTACATATTTTATGCCGAAGAACAAAACGGTTTACATGTGTCAAACTTTATAACTCCTATACATTTACACAGATTCACTTCAGGTTCATGTTATGAATAGTTTCACTTTTTAGCCTCTTTAAGCTCAATCAATCAATGTTTATTTATATAGCCCAATATCACAAATGTAACATTTGTCTCAGTGGACATCACAGTTTGTACAGAATATCAGTATGCCTCTGTCCTTAGACCCTCACATCGTACAAGGAAACACTTCTAGAGAAAAACCCACAGTTTAAAGGGGAACATGGGAGAAACCTCAGGGAGAGCAACAGAGGAGGGATCCCTCTCCCAGGACGGACAGACGTGCAATAGATGCCGTGTGTAAATTGAAAAGAGAATAAATTTACAACATAGGTAGTCCAAATGTTTGGAAATGCATGTGTCTATAATAAGAAGATGAATCCAAGAGGATGTCAACAATCCTGTGGGAGCCATCAGGGAAGTAGTATGATGAGTCAGGCAGGACCGCAGAGACAGGTTCAGCCACGACTCGAAATCCAGGACACAGGATCCAGGACTCAGGATCCAGGACCACAGCAACAGGCACAGCCACGATCCAGGGCTCAGGATGCAGGATCCAGGACTCAGGATGCAGGACTCAGGATCCAGGACTCAGGATCCAGGACCACAGCAACAGGAACAGCCACGACTCAGGATCCAGGGCTCGTGATCCAGGACTCAGGACCACAGCAACAGGATCAGCCACGACTCAGGATCCCGGCGTAGATAGACACCAAAAAGAGATTTGGGGAAGCTGGGTTATTAGGAACATGAGAGTACACAGGTACAGACAGAGAGAAGGAAGAAGTAAGGTGTCCCCCGACAGTCTAAGCCTATAGCAGCAAAACTAGGGGCTGAATCTAATCAGCCCTAACTATAAGCTTTATCAAAAAGGAAGGTCTTAAGCGCACTCTCAAAAACGGATAGGCTGTCTGCCGCCCGAACACAAACTGGAAGCTGATTCCAAAAAGTGGTGCTTGATAAGAAAAGGCTCTGGCTCCCATTGTACTTTTAGAGACTCGAGGAACAACCAACAACCCTGCGTTCTTGGAACGCAATGCCCTAGTAGGACAGTAGGTATAATGAGTTATTTAATTATTTGCCCATTAAGGGCTTTGTAGGCCAGAAGAAGACTTTTAAATTCTATCCTGTGTTCTATAGGGAGCCAGTGTAAGGCAGCCAGAACAGGAGTAATGTGGTCCCTTTTACGAACTGGTTAGTACACGTGCTGCAGCATTTTTGAATCAGCTGAAGCGACTTAGCTGACTTTTTGGTACACCCTGATAATAAAGAGTTACAATAATCCAGCCTTGAAGTAACAAATGCATAGATTCGTTTTGAGGCAAGATATGCCTGATTTTTGCAATGTTACGTAGATGAAAGAAGGCGGTCCTAGAGATTGATTTTATGTGGGCGTTAAAGGATAAATCCTGATCAAATATAACACCAAGATTCCTTACAGTCTCACTGGAGGCCAAATGAATGCCATCCATAGTTAGTATATCTTTAGATAATTTGTTTCGTAGATTCTTTGGAGAACTTCAGTTTTGGCCGTGTTTAACATCCAAAAAAGTAAGGTCGTCCACGTTTTTAAGTCCTTGAGGCAGTCTTGAATTTTATTTAGATAATTGGTTTCATCAGGCTTGATTGATAAATATAGTTGAGTATCATCCGCATAACAATGAAAATGTACAGAATGATTCCTTATAATATTGCCTAACGGAAGCATATATAATGTGAACAAAATAGGTCCAAGTACTGAGCCCTGTGGCACTCCATGGCTCACTTTGGTTTGCATGGAAGATTCATCGTTGACACACACAAACTGAAACCGTTCAGATAGATAGGACCTAAACCAGCCTAAAGCAGTTCCCTTTATGCCAACTAAGTGCTCTAGTCTTTTCAAGAGGATATCATGGTCGATAGTATCAAATGCAGCACTGATATCGGGCAAGACAAGAATAGAGACGAGTCCTTTGTCTGAGGCTATTAGAAGGTCATTTGTGACTTTAACAAGAGCTGTCTCTGTGCTATG